ATGCTCAGCAAGTTCCCAAGCTGCCCCACCTTGTGGCTAACTCCCCAGTTATATACTAAGCTGACGTCATATGGTATGGAATCTCCCGTTGGCCAGTTTGGGTCAGCTGTCCTGGCTGTGTCCCCTCCCAGCTTCTTGGGTGCCCCCTGCCTCCTTGTTGGCAGGCCAGTATGAGAAGCTGGAAAGTCCTTGACTGCTTGGCAACAACTACAACATCAGTGTGTTATCAACATTATTCTCATCCTAAATCCAAAATACAGCACTATGCCAGCTGCTAGGAGGAAAACTAACTCTATCCCTGCCGAAACCAGGACAGTAATATATTAGCAATTATTGAAATTTAACATTGGTGCTTTCAAAATTCTTCAAGGTTACTAGGATAAAGTAGGATGCATGAGTCAGACTTTCTTTCCTTCAAAATTGAAAGATATTTCTGCCATTAAAAGGGGATTATATTTTTAAACGAAGTTCCATACTCAGCTCAGTAAGTTGTTTTGAGTTCATCTTTTTTAAATTACCCAACTCATTGAAATTGGTGAATTCCATTCCTTAAGATATACTTGGTCTTGATCACATCTTTCGCAACCTGTTGATAATTCTTTTTCTTCTCCCCCCACCCAAAAAAAAAAACCCAAAACAAAACCCGTGCTTGCTGTACTATTTAATTGGAGCTGAGGACATTGGATAGCATTTTGCATGTATCTAGGTAGATAGGAGTCAGGCTGTGATTTCATCAGTACTGCTGTTAAATCACTTTTCATCTTGTTCCTGCTTGTTCCTCTCCAGTGCTACCTCTCCCTTGCACCAGCAGTAGGTTTCCTTGGCCACATGATGAACTGATCTGTGGTACAATTAAGCAAATTTTCCATGTCTGCTTTGGTCCAGACCAGATCACTGATTCTTCTTCTGAGCATGACTGCATGACTGTTTGAGTGGTACAATGGAAAGGGCAGTAAGGTCTTGCAAACACATGACTAAGGGCAAATGTTGGCTTATATCAGGAGAAAACACAGCTAAGTTATTTTCAGTGTCTTTTTATTTTTGAGTAGGCAAATTTCTCTTTGGAGAACTGTAGGAGAGCTTCAATTGCTTTTGAGCTTTTCAGGTTCTGCAGCTTCTGCACTACATCTCTTGGGGCCAGGCTATCATTTCGATTGCTTTATAGGAAGGAATATTTCAAATACCTTTTGATTTTATTTTATACAAGTGTTATATTCAGCACTATGACAAAATTGAAGGTAATGTTTTATGATATTGGTGTGTATATTTTGTACAAGCTGTTTTGCATAGCATGATTGTTAATTTGCTGTCTTGTAGATCATAGATCTCTATCAAAATTACCTCTCTCATCATGCAACAAATACTCAATGTTGGTCACAATGAAGGTATGAAAGACACTAAACTATGTATTTCACATTGTAATGCTGTTCTTGTTTTCTTTTGTAGCTGGTTGGTGGCGAATTTGATCTAGAGATGAACTTTATAATCCAGGATGCAGAGAGCATTACATGCATGTCGGAGCTTTTGGAGCACTGTGATGTAACGTGCCAAGCAGAAATCTGGAGTATGTTCACAGCAATTCTGCGTAAAAGTGTCCGTAATTTACAGACTAGCACGGAAGTTGGCTTAATTGAACAGGTACTGCTGAAGATGAGTACTGTGGACGACATGATTGCAGGTATAAATTGCCAACTGATAAAATAATTATTGCATTCTTGAACTATCAACTTTTTGTGATTATGGAAGGGTTTGGGATGTCTTGATTTTTGCTTAATGTGATATTTTGGTTAGTACTGCTATTGAGTCAGAAGTACTTTTCTATCAATTTCAGAAAAATGACAAAAATATATTCTTAGTTTAAAATATATGTAGATACATTGTTTAAAATAGCTGCCTGGTAGTTCATCTGAGAAGATAATGTTATCTTAATAACAAAAAAAGCAATTTTGAATATAATTAAGAACGGTAAATGTTAGAGTTCTTAACTGTCAAGGTAATATTCTAGTTTTTAAGTACATTGATCATTTTGAATTATTCAGATGTTAGAACTGTTATTATGATCTACTTTAAATATAACCTACATCTGACAGCATATCAGAAATTAATCATAGCTTTGCATGCTGGACATTTGGATTATATTAAACAATCATTTCATAATGTATAGCTGTGCTCTTTGTTTTTTATACTTGTGGTTTGTAATTTCCTATAACTTTTTTACAGCGTTAAAAAATAGCATCATTTATTCACTTACTGAAAATAAGTGATGAAGTTGTTGCACCGCTAAGGTTTTTGGAGTACTTTTGAAGGAGTTTATGTCATTCCATACTGTGTCCTCTCAGTAGGGGGTACAAATTGGAATCCCGAATTACTTGATTAGAGAAGTGGTTTTCGTTGTCACTTTTAAATGTGGCAGCTGAGAGCTACGTATGATTAGTATTTCTCTACTCTTTATTTTTCTTGGGGAGAAACTTAATCCAAGCAGTTTCTTTCAACTCAGTGTGAAAGTAGTTTTTAATTTTTATATAGATTGGGACTGGTAGTAGGACACTTAAATTGCGAGGCATTATTGAAAAATTTAAGAGGTTTGTCTTCCATAATTCTAAGATTTTAGTTGGTGATCTGATTCCTGACACATATGTAGGCTTTGTGGAGTAGCAAACCAGCAAGGATTTCAGACCAGAAACAAAAGGAAGATAACAGCAGCAGGAAAACTGGATTTTTCAGGAACATTTTTGTCCTTGGCTTTTTTTTTCAGTGTAAAGGAATCTGTAATATTAAGTATTTGAAAAGCTACATTTTGCATTACAAAGCAAGTCTTAGTGAACACCTGTTTGATTAGAAATGTCAGTGTAAATGCTAAAACCAGAAGTGTTATGCTAAATATTGTTCTGCAAGGTTCAGAGTGAAGTATAACAGATCAATAGATTCACAAACCAATGGTTTGCACCAAGTATGTTTTGTTTTGCAGGACTTGTAAATATGTCAGAATAGTATAAGGGCAAAGATATTGTTTTATTCCACATTAAATATAAGACATTAGCTGATGAAACCAAACATTTATATCATGAAATTTTTCAGGTTTTAACTCATGGAACTAACGTGCTTACATTAGTAATCATACCAATAATATTGGTCCAATTTCAGTTCCCCGAAAGAGTACTTCTGTATGTGGCATATATAACTGCGATGATATCCCCATCAGTGCGAAATTTTAAAAAATGATTAGGTAATTGTAGAAGTCAGAAATCAAGAGTATAGGATCTGGCTTCCATGAGCATGTTTTGAACAAGAGTTGTGTTAGTGCTTACTCCTAGGAAGTTAGTACCACTGTCTTCCCAAAACAGTTGCTAATACTTTGTCAGCCCAATGTTTGACAATTGGCTTTTATCTTCTGCAAAGGGTACGGGTTTTCTGGGGTTTTATTTGTTTGGTTTGGGAGTTGACTGTTTGTTTTTAGGTCAGCTCACTTGTTTCTTTGTGAAATGCTGTGATTAGACCTAGATAAGATTTAAATAGACAAGACAAGCGTAATCTCTGTTTTATGTTCTGACAGCATGCTTTCAGGACCAGTCTAAGTCTGAAGCCACTCTTCTCTGGTTTTATGAAAGTAAGACAATAGCAAATAAACATGCACCCAATCCTTTGCAGTGAGAAGAACTTGTCTGTCTGTTTAAATGAAGACTATCAGATTCATGAGGCTTCTCAGCTCTTTAAATATCTCACTTCTTCAGATTTTTGCAAGTTCTCTGGTCAAGAATAAAAGCTTGATCACCTTGAAAGCCTCAATTGCAATCCAAATGGGATCATTGCCACTTGTATTCCAATTTGCTTTGCAGAAGCATCACCTGTCAAAAGTCATCTTTGTACTGTGATAATCTGTTATGCTAAGACAGGGGATGGTCAGCCATTTTATCAATGGTGAAGGGGAAAAGATTACTAAAATATTTGCATAGGTGATTGGCACTTTTTTTTTTCCTAACAGCTGCACAAGGTCTTCCTTGAGGGATTAACTTTTTGCCGTTCTCTGTTTCCAGATGATGAGTAGTGAAGCAGATCATCTGCTCTGAGGGACTTTTTGGGATAGTGTGTCTGTAGGACCTTCAGAGAAGTCTAAATGGTGGATGAGAAAGCAGCCTGAACTTGTACAGAGTGGATATGTCTCCTTTGAGCCCCACTTTATTTTCTTCAGTTCTGTTGTGATGCTGTAGATAATTATTTTAAAATTGCTGAAACTGAATTCTTAAGCACTGAAACAGTTCCTAGTTTTTAAGCAAAAATGTTAGGTTTTGACTGCTCTGTCATTAATGGACTGTAAACAAACATTTGTCTTTGAACTGGTTCCATAAGAAAAACTACAAAATTATCACATTCTCTATTGCCAACCTGTAGAAATTAATTTACTTCACCAACAGAGTTAAAATTCACAATTTCATGGCTGTCTGTTATTAAAAGGTTAAGGAGGCATGAGGGTAGTTTTCCTGAAGTTGCATTTCATTGTTTAATATGTCTTCTAAAGTTAGTGCCATACCATTCGTTTTGATATATGCTCAGAAAGACAGGCAGGCTCTTTTACCATTGTATTTTCATATTAAGTGACTGAATTAAGCATTCCTTCAAGGTTTCTGGTTAATTTATAAGTCATATATAACCTGCTTAGTATGAAAGTAGTCAGAAGGTGCCACTCACAGAAATAAAATCTGTTGCATTCAGTGCATTTTAGAAATGCATTAAAAATGAGAAATGGTGCCTGTTTCGTCCTTCTGAACTTAACAGTAAAATAATATCATTTACACAGTCTTGTTTCTGAAATGAGATCATAGATACCAGTTATATATGTGATCTTAGTTAATATAAAAAAATGAAGTAAACATTAAAAAATCCCATTGTGTGACCTTTGTCAATTTATAGATGAGTGGATTATTAGGATTTATAAACCAGATGTGGACTGACTTTTTTATACGAGATTTCTAACGAGCCTGAATAAAGTTATGTAATAGACTGCAGTTCCCTTTAAGTCTTGTTATATTGAAACAAGAAACAAACCTTCTTTAGAGGTATTTACAGCAATATTTTTAAGTAGCTTTAAGTGCTTCGACTTCCACACCTGTTCTTTGCTTTATCTTTACTTGTTACCTACTGGGCTTCAGTCTTTCAAGTCTTTGTTTTACCCAGAGTTATGTTGTTAGGGAGCTTACATTTGTTTCTCTCCATCAATGTTTTATTCATTATTTATAAATATGTATTTCTAATGCCTGTGGGTTATCAGCATCTTCAGTAGAAATAAGAAATTTTCTGTGCCATAAGGTAGTACAGGGGTATAACAATGAAACAAAGCAACACATGCTCAGTAATTTTTAAAAACTGCCAATCATTTCTGTGTTTGACTGTATTAATTTACACCTTTTTTATCTATGTTAGAAGATTTTTTTTTTACTGGTGTTCTGATTTTTACCAAGTAACTTTGCTTCTATACAACACTTTTTTTCTGTAAAGGAAGCAAAATCTGAAGTAGCTTGATCTAAAAAGCAAGCTAAGACTACAAAATAAGAACTGGGAATTTCTCATCCAAAGATTCGTGTTCACTTGTGCTGATTTTCCTTCCTGAGTTTTCAGTGTGTTACTGTTCTCAGTTTCTGATCACGTACAATAGGTACAATCGCTGCCAGCTTTACATTGCAGACTGGAGTCTATACAATGAAGGGGATAGATGCTTGTAGGTACTAGAGGAGGAGCTGAGTCATTGAATTCACCATCATAAAAGACAAGAGGGTTTAGTTTTCTTTGCTTTATTTTGCTTGCCCTTAAGAAATTCTGTCACAAATATGTGACACTAATTTTAAAGGGAAGATTAAATAAACTCGTCTTTTAAAGAAAGAGAAAAAAAGAGTCTATACTTGAACATTAGGAACATGTTCGGTTCTTATGGCGAAAATGTCTGCAAGTTACAGTGTTTTTCTTTTGCCTTTCCTGACATGCAGTTTCGCTCACTGAACAGCTTACTATATCTCCTGTAAATTAAATAATGTTTCATTCTTCACACATGCCTTTAGCTTACTGAGGACCACAGGTTGGTTTCATGGTGGAACAAGTTACATAGATACTGATGGTTTTACTCAAAAACGTGTACATAGGGATTTTCAGAGAAAAAAAAAATTGGTTTAAAACAAAATATCAATGTGAAATGTTCTTGGAAAGGATGGATGCTGTTTAAGACTACTCTTTGTCAGCACCTGTAAGAATCATCCTTTCACTAATGAACAAGGAGAGCATGTAGTCCTGCAAATAAGATAAAATTTGATACTCATGTCTTCTACAAGTTTTATAGGGGGAATTTTCTGATTGTTGGGCAGATTCAAAAAGTTTGTTAATGCTGATTCTATTGAGTCAGAGCTTTTTTTGTTTTAGAAACTCTGTACTTCAGTGCTTGATCTCTGAATTCAATTTCTTACGCTACATCTGTGAAGATAAGCAAATTGTTTTTCCTCTTGCTAGAAGTAGTAGTAATTCTTAGTAGTGCATATTATTCCAGAAGAAAGTGTAGAGTATAAGGCGAGTTCCAGCATCTCACAAGTTAACAAATTCTTAAAATGAAATTCTGTGTCTTAAAATAAAGATCCAAGCATATTTTAAACCTGACATTCTCTGAAAGGCAGGCTATGTAATGCTGTTATTTTAAAAGTTTATGGGGTTTGAGATGTTTTAATGAAAGCTGTATTACATATATTCGTTAGCTGGTTTGATCACTTCTTTATATCGTGGTCTTTTATTGTTTTCTCACTATGATTTTGGTGGGGGTTTGTTTGTTTTTTCCCGGCCTTTCATTCTGGTAAAAATTGGAAGCATTATCACTGTAGCAAAACTGTGGGAACCATACAAGTTCTAAGTATAATGTGCTGTGTTTAAGTTAAAGAATAATGTCAAGCATCTTCTAGGTCAGAAATTTTTTAAAAATACTAACTTCAAAGGAATGAAGAAATCCTTATCCCAAAAGTATGTAGCAGAAAGGGGCAAGCAAGAAGTTCATAATGTATGATGAATGTTGTGAAATGGGAAGAATTAATTCTTCAGAAATTTAATAGATACTTTGTTCAAAAAGTGTGATGCAAAATCTAAAAATGCATATGTACATTTATTTTTAAAATAACTAAATTCATGAGAATATTAAATCCTTCGTAAAATATTTAAGGCAAGTAAGTTTGATTTTTAGAATTTGTGAATACACTTAATTTTAAAGGTATTAACTTTTTCAGCTTTTTTGTCAAAACAATTAAATTCCCAGTTCAGAATAACTTTATTTTCCTTTGAAGATCTTCTAGTTGATATGTTGGGGGTTCTTGCCAGCTACAGCATCACTGTCAAAGAGTTGAAGCTTTTGTTCAGCATGCTTCGAGGCGAAAATGGAATCTGGGTAAGCTGTGATCAGATAAAACATTAAGTGTCATTCCATTAGAGCCTGAAGTTAACATAAATTGTCTCCTGGGACATATAAACTTGATTTTTTATTTTTTAATGTTGATTGAAAATGTTTATGAAATATTTTTGCTAACTACTTTAGAGATAATTTGCTGTGTTGTTTGAAAACCATCCAGTTTCTGTTGTAGCCTAGAGAGTACAAAAATGGTTGTATTGACTTTTGTGCAATTTTCTTGTTTTCACAGCCAAGACACGCGGTTAAATTGTTATCAGTCCTTAATCAGATGCCACAGAGACATGGGCCCGATACCTTTTTCAACTTTCCAGGCTGTAGTGCTGCAGTAAGTTTCAAAATACTACAACTTGAGGAACAAACAAATTGCTCCTCATTCACATTTCCTTTCATTTGGTTTTGGAAATTCTTGAAAAGGAAATGAGAGGGGAGTACATGTTTGAGTAGTGTAGACCTTGACTTCCGTAGGTTTGCAAGGTAGTTATAGTGTTGAGAACTTGCACTTGTGAGGATGGAATGTCAAATAACAGATTTGTGTCTGGGGAAATGATCATAAAAGTGAAAACTGAAAATTCCAAAGAACAATATTATTTTATTTGAATAATGTGATTGATATTATATAAAGTAGAGGCTTGAGGAAAATATAGGGATGAGCTTGTGCGTCTCACCACAGTTTACAGTGACAGCATAGTCACAAATTTTATTATATATTTTTCTTTTTGTCTGAACTCCATCAGCTGTTTCCTTTCCCTCAAGGCAGTGATTTAAATGCAGTCATCTTTTGGTTTTACTTTTTGAGATAACTTACGACGATGAAATTGTATTCCTTTCTAAACCTCCTCAAATGAATAGTCTCTCTTCTGTTCACTGCATGTATGCTCAGAAAAACCTACAAATAAATTCGAATATTGGATACAGATTTATAAATACGATTATTAGGGCAGAACATACAAATGCTTAAAAATGAGAAATCCAGATTTGAGGTTCAGTTCCATTCTGGTGTGCAATAGTATATGCTCATGCTGGAATCTTTTAAGGGGAAGTAATCCTAGGATCCCTGTCTTTTCATGCCAGTGCAGGAAGGGTGGAAAGAGCTGCTTTTGGGCTGTTCTACTTGTATTTCGCCCAATAGCACTGATCGTTTTCTTCAAGCATAAACCACCACCTCGTCATCTCTGTGAATACAGCTGTTGCTGTGGTGGATTGCATCAGGGAAATAAACTGGCTGAAAATCACTGTTTTTCACCTGGGTTATTTTTGGCTAAATCACTTCCCTGATCTTGTTTGATATTCAGCTGCACAAACAGATGTGTCAGCAAAATGTATGGGGCGGATTGTGTAAGGAATTAATTACTGAGTTTTGAAAGAGAGACTTTCATTTGCTACTGCTAAATTAAAAGCACAGTTAACCTCTCCTAAAAGTACATGCAGCAGCAAGACAGCTGTTGCAGAATATGAATGTCTACAATGACACATACTGCTTTGACATTTCTGGGCTTCAGAGGCAAACCCTGGTGAAATGTCTCTCTTAAATTTAATTTTGTATTAGAGCTTCAAAAGAAGTTTTGCAGGGGAAGAATTTCAAATATTCCTCCCTGTCCAAAGAGATGCATCAATTATTGGAAATCATATTTAAAATTAAGTTCTCAGTACTGACAGTTTTACAGGGGCATAAAGTTTCTTGATTGAAATGCACGATAGGCATTTCTCTTTTCTTGGTTAGGATCTTGTTTCACATACCACTTATCATTGACTGTGCACCTGTTAATCAAGAAATATGACTTTCAAATTTACATTTCTTGAGTAGTGCATGTTGGATTACACTATGAAATTCTGGAGAGGAGTCATCCTTTGAAGTGGATCAAGGGCAATTACTTATAAAATGGCCCAAACACGAAGGTCTTCATCCGAAGAAAGGGAATGGATAGGACCTAGTTTACTAGCGCTGAGTTCAGGTTTTCAGGTGTGATGCACAGTGATGACATCAGACAGAGAAACAGCATAATGTTTACCTGGCATGATAAATATCAGATTGACCCTCTTTAAAGTTGGGTGCGTGCTCCTTGTATAACCAGGACTTCAGTGGTAGTATGAAAGAGCCAAAAGTCTGCTGCACCAGTCTGCTGATCTGCTGCCGAGATCTGCTTCACTATCCCAACTGAAAGGCTCTTCCCAGTACCATGTTACATCTCTGCCATCCTGTGTAAGCAGCACATTAGTCACTCGGTTAGGAGGACACCTTGTGATGGTGGTAGTATTCCCAGGTGTTGTTTCTGTTTGTCATCAAGTAGTAATTTTTCTGTTTCAGGCAGGGAACTCCCTCTCAGGAGGCAGGAGTGATATCCCAAAGGAGTTCCTTGAAATGTTTTGTATTGAGCAGTTGGTACCAGGCCAGTAGCAGAACTGGTATTATTTCTTTTGTCTTGTCAAATACTAGCATAATCTGAACACATTTCTGTAATTATAAAATTTACTGTTCCCTAAGAATGATAGTTCCCTATTATTCTTAATTATCTATTTCTCTGCTCTTAAAACTCTTCCAGCAATTACCTTGCATATAAAAATAATGAAAAGTCAGTCCCACTCTGTACTTTTTTTTTTTTTTAAACATGCTTTACTGCATTGGCATCGAATCTTAGAGTGATTATTCTGACTCTGTTGCCCAAAGACTCATGTCCATTCTCATTTTAAGCAGTGCAGGAGTTTGCTACAATACTTTGTAGTCTTTGGTATGAATCAGGACAGTATAAGATTTGAGCACTCCTGAAAAAGTATTTCCAATGGTAACTCACAAGTATCACACAGAATCACGGAAGGGTTGAGGTTGGAAGGGATCTCTGGAGGTCATCTCAGCCAACCTCCTCTATGCTGGAGCAGAGCCACCTAGAGCAGGCTGCCCAGGACCGTGTCCAGATGGCTTTTGAGCATCTCCAAGGATGGAGACTTCACGACCTCTCTGGGCAACCTGTGCCAGTGTTCAGTTGATATCACTGATAGCTTTGATAAGAACACAATACCTTCAGTGCAAGGATTAATTAACTAGTCATTATTTTAAAGTGTAGTAAGACTTTAAATTATCTTACTGAAACTGAAAAATATAAATTAAATACACTTAGAAATAGCATGATATTCTTATTTATAAAATTATTTTCTTCTGCTTTGCATTCATATATAACTTATTTCAAGAAAGCTATTAAAGGCTACTTTAACACTGCTACGCTACTTTTGTGTAATATATTCTATATTTTGTCTCATGGAGGGAGAAAGAATTTATTGTAATGAATGCCAACTACAGTAATCTCTAAGTTATTACAAACACTGAATTTCTTAAATTTTAAAAATTACTTCATTTTCTGTATAGTTATCATACCAAGGGGGAAAATGTTTTATCTTTTAGTGGTATCATAGAAAAAAATGACTTTCTAAGTGACCTCTGAAAGTCATCTTGTCTGATTTCCTCCCTAAAGAGTTCCTAACTTCAGAGTTAGCTCAGGTATTCAGGGCCTTGCCCAGGGAGAAAGAGTTCTCTGAAACCTCTTCATCAGTCAGCCCATAATAATAAAATATTGAAAAATCAAATTTCTTCGCAGGCCATGCCTTACTATGTATTTAACTGAGAAGGAGGTAAAATGTTCAGTCTCTTACCTTACTAAGTGTTCATAGGAAAAAAAACCTAATAGTGCTCTTAAATCTCAGAGAACAACTTTTTTCATGCTGTAATTTTAACAGTGAATCTCTGTTGTACTATCTGTTGAGACTAATTTGATCTTAATGTTTAAGTCTGTTCATGAGTTGAATACTTACTGAAAGCTGAATTTATAGTTTAATTGCTGCAGAAGTAATTTTTCTTTTTTTCTTTTAATATTGTCTGTTCACAAACTTAATTTCACGTCCTCTCAGTAGAATTTATATAGTTAAAAATTAAAGCACTATTTGAAGGGGTTTTTTTAATATTGTTATTTAATATTTGAAAGTTAAACAGGTCCGCAGATGTAGGATGACAGGATTTTAGGAAGTCCCTTTGACAATACTTCTTAAAAAATTCATTTTTTTGACCTGCAATTTCCTTTTTTTTTTCTTTTTTTCCCTCTTTCCTCTTCCAGGCAATTGCATTGCCTCCTATTGCTAAGTGGCCTTATCAAAATGGGTTTACTCTGAACACCTGGTTTCGTATGGATCCACTAAACAATATCAATGTAGATAAGGATAAACCCTATCTTTATTGGTAAGTAATTTATAACGCTGCAGTTATGGTTTGTTTTGGCTTCCTAATAACAGTTAATCTTTTCTCACTGTTTTTAGTTTCTGACATGCTTTCCCCTCCTCAAACATCTGCAGATTTTAATGGCTGCTTACTGTATAAAAACTCTTACTAAGTCATCTGTCCTTTTTGCTTTGCAGTTTATAAATGCATGGATGCAAGACATTGTGCCTTGTAGATAAACCATAAAATCTAGTGTGGTGGTTTCTTTAGAAAGTTTAAAATACATGATTTCTTAGAGCTGTAAACTGAGAATATTTTCATATTTTCTGTTTGGTATTTAAGATTCTCAGTGGATTTCAGTATTATAAAACAAATCTTTTGTACTCAGAGCGCACTGTTTGCACATTAGCTAGAGGTAATAGAAAGTATGTCTGTGAATATAAAAATGGCTCATTGATCACCTGTTCCCAAAAATGGAAGCTGTATTTCATAATACATTCATTGCAGGAGAGGCAATTTTAGTTTACTTAGGTTTGCTGTTGTGATGAAAATAGAAATAATAGTTACATCCTTAAAAAAGCCCTCTGATATTTAGAAATTATACTGTAATAGTAAAAATGTTTGTCCTATTCTTCAATCACAAAAATAGTTTTTTCACTTCAGAAATTAATTATGTATCTATCTGCTCAAGTATGGTTCTCTAGCTGAAGAAAAGAAGGAATGAGGAAAATAAAGAACCTTCTGTTATGCCAGAATATGCTGGTATTTCCTTTAGCACTTCTTCATTCTTTATGTATTTGCTATTTAGTACGCTTAACTTTTGTGATATTCCAAAAGACTCTGTATCAGCTGTGCAGACAGATGAGGATTGGACATAAGCAAGATCTATGAAGTTTTATCAGCTCAGGAAAACAGGAGTAGCACAAGGAGGGAAGTAGGGAAAAGTAATGTTTCTCACTTTGTAGTCATTCCATGTAGTCTAAAGAGCAGAAGTTTTGAGTAGTCAGCTGAGGAGAGGACCAGTAGATGTGGTCTCAGGAAGGTACTTGTACTATCAATACATAAAAATCTTATCATCTGTGCATTTACTTGGAAACCCAAAATAATTCATATTTTTTTATGGAACAAATATCTAGTTAAAAATAATTTAGGTTTATTCTGAAGAAAAAAATTAATACATTTTCTCTAAATTACTATCTGGCATAATACTTTTCCATGTGTCCATTTTCTGCTAAGTGCTATAGTTATTTTACCGTGGAGATTTTTTCAAGCTGTTGGTTATAGCTATGCTTAATAGTATGATGTATATTTTATTTATTTTTTCAGTCTGTCAAGGACAATAACAAATGCAATTACAGGATTGGACATGCATACAGGAATTTAACATGATCATTTGTTTCTCACCCAGAATTTATGTTTCAGAATTGGCAGCTTTAGGTGGTGTATTTGATTGGAGAATTTGTTATTGCCTCAGAACAGGAAAAGCATACTCCAAAGTTGCACATCTCATGATGTATGCTGTTTTTCTTATGGTTAGTAATGTATCACCTTTAACCTGAGTGATGAATATGATCTCTTCCAATTCCAATATAATGTAGAAGCAGCAATGGCATTAGGTTAGAATAACTTCAGATGTTCGATTATTATTTTTTTAATACATATTTCTTGCCATGATCACAGAATCATAGAATGGTTTGAGTTGGAAGAGACCTCAGTGATCATCTAGTTTCAACCCCCCTGCTGCGGGCAGGGACACCCTCCACTAGACCACGTTGCCCAAAGCCCCATCCAGCCTGGTCTGAAACACTTCCAGGGATGGGGCATCCACAACATCTCTGGGCAACCTGTTCCAGTGCCTCACTGCCCTCATACAGAAGAACTTTTTCCTAGCATTTAATCCAAACTGACCTTCCCTCAGGTTAAACCCATTACCCTTGTCCTATCACTACATGTCCTTGTAAACAGTTGCTCTCTAGCTTTTACATCAAATGTAGTTCTGATGTTTAGTATGATGTCATTATGATTCTTATTGATTTCTAAGATTTTTGAGCATGCTTTTTAGCATATTTTTTGCCCTGAAATAGTTTTAAATCCTCAGTGTCTTAAGCTTTCCTGAATATTTATGGATACTTTATATTTATCTGTGTCAGAGGGAATTTACTTCTGGTTCCTTTTTTATGTATATTGAATTAGACCGTTTCTCTATCCTGTACTTACTTTACTACAAAGAAGTGATATAGCTTAGAATAATTGCCACATATACTCAGACATCTGTCTTTAATAAACAGATTTTTCCTTGATTAGAGTATTTGTTTTTTGAACATATTAATGAATAAAACTTGCAAAGCTGCCCTTTGAGTGATTAAAGAAACCTGAATTTCTTCCTTTAAAAGAATTCTGGGTCTCACCTTAGCATTATACTCTAAAGAATATTTTTTATTAACATACTTCTTATTAGCTAAAACTGTAACATTTCATGTTTGCTTAAAAAATGTCCACTGGCAGTATGATTTACCTGTAGTAACTTAATGTAGTATCTGTTTATTGGATTGGTTAGAATAGAGAGTCTAGGAGACTAAGAACACGGTTTTTTTTCTATATCTGTCCCCATGGTCGATGCATGCTTTATATGTTTTCATGGTTTTTTCTATTTTCATAACCCAGAACATACCAAAATTATGTCTTCTATATTTTGTTGTTGCAGCTTGGAAACTTGGAAAGAAAGTATAGCCCCAAAACATATGGAGTTTCAGTTCTCTTATTGTAGGGTATAAAGGGTAACCTCTCTAGTAAACATAGGTATTTTGCTGCATGCGCAGACTTTTCAAGTAATCTTTGGGCATATTCACGCTGAATGACTGACTTGTTATTTCACACACGCACGCTTGCACACACAAATGTGTAATTATAGTTCAGTGTCTCACTTTCTTACGTTATCTGTTAAGGAATATCTGTAAAAGGAGAGTATTTAGCAAGAGTGGGAAATAAAACTTCCGTGACTAACAAGGTGGAACTTTGCAAGTGCTTCATGTGAGCCACAGAAAGAAGTCAGTCGTACAGAAATCAAAAGCCAAAACTGAGTCTGTGTAAATCTAATGTGCATGTAATACACATGAGAGAAACTGAATATGCCAATGTCATAAGGAAATTAGGAAAAATGCAAATACTTGTCATTTTTTATATAGTGGCTTAAACCAAGCCATAATTAATAATTAAAAGGAAAAAAATATCCAAACTGATTCATCCATCTAAACTTTATACACATTTTAGACTTTGTCACATGAAAGGTTGAGTCACACACAACCACCACCAAGAGGAAGACACCAACACAAAGATTTCTTTTCTTTTAATGTGGTTTTTGGGACTGCAATGTATTTTTCTGTTTAACTAGGTGAAAATGTTGCATATAGATTAACTCTTTCTTTATAGTTTCTTCTTAAAAGTAATCTGTCTTTTAAGCAATCTTTATTTTAAAAGCAATAACTTAGTAACATGCACAACTTCAAAGAGGATTCTTTTGAAGCAGAGGTGCTGAAAGCAGCATCAGCTAGAACAGGTTTCTTAGGACCTTCTCCAGCCATGTTTTTGAATATCTTCACAAACGGAGACATTGCAACCTCACTGTGAAACCTGTACTAGTCTTTGTCTACCCTCACAACGAAAAAGTTTATCAATTTCACTTTGCGTCCATTATGTCTTGTCCTTTCAGTGAGTATCACTGAGAAGTCTCTGGCTCAGTCTTCTTTACTCCCCACCCATCAGGTATTTACACATATCTTTTCTTCTCGGGGCTAAGCAGTCCCATATCTCAGCCTCTTCTCATGTGTCAGAGTCTTTGATCATTTGGTCATCTTTGTGGCCATTTGCTGGACTCTGTCTGGTATGTCCATGTCTTCCTTGTACAGTGCAGTCCAGAACTTGACATAATACTCCAGATGTGGTCTCTGAGGTGTTAAGAACAGAGGAAGGATCAACCTGCTGGCAATGCTTTTCCTAATGCAGCCCAGGATACCATTGGCTGCCTTTGCCATGAGGGCACATTAGTGGCTCATGGTCAACTTACTGACCGCCCTTTCGCCAAAGCTGATTTTGAGCTGATCAGTACCTAGCATATGCTGGTGCTTGGGGTAGTTCCTCCTCAAAGGCAGGACTTCACGCTTCCCTCTACTGACCTTCATGAGATCCTTGCTGGCCTGTTTCTCCAACCTGTTATGGTCCCTCTGAATGACTGCACACTTATCTGGTGTATCAGCCACTCCTTATCATTTGTAAGCTTGCTGAAGGTGCACTCTGTCTCACTATTCAGGTTATTAATGAAGAAGCTGAACAAGATTGGACCTAGTATTGACCTATAGTTTAGTCCAATAGTAACTGACCTCCAGCTGGACTCATGCCACTGATGACAATGCTTTTAGCCCAGCAGTTCAATTGGTTTTCAGACCACCTCACCGTCCACTTACGTATGTAGCTCATAAACATCCACAGCTTTCCTCTCCATCCTCCAAGCCAGTCATCTCATGGTAGAAGGCTATCAGTTTGATCAAGGATGATTTCCAATTTGTAAATCCATGCTGACTATTCCCAATCACCTTCTTAGGTATGATCCAGGCTTTAAGTGAGTGCAGAAAGAAGTGGACAGAGGCCTTTCTGATAGGGGAGCACCATTATATCAGCTTGACCAAGATATGAAAACTAATGCTTAAAAATGGAGAAGGGCAGCAAAGAAATACTTTCACATTTGCCAAATGTGAGGGAAAACTGCTACTGTTCTGTAATTAGCGAAATGCTAATTGCTGTTTCAAGAACTGTAAGCCATTTTGTTCTAGTTTGGTTTTTTTTTAATAATTTTAATTATCTCTGAGGATGATGTTGGACAGCTGCTAAGTGACTATTAATAGTTGTGAATTGGAACAGTATTGTAGCTTTCTTACCAATTACAAAATGAATGTGACAATCCTGGAAGAAACTTAGGGGTCTTTGACATTTGTCTGGATGACAAATGACAGTAAAGAGAAAGCTTT